AGTAGCTTTGCGCTGATATGTGATTCGTAATCAGTTGTAGCTCGCTTTCCAAATTGTGAACGTGGTGAACTGTTTATCGAGCGTAACAGCAGGATAGCAGTTTGTCAGCTGGCAGAAGCCAACTTCCAGCATCAGTAAATGAACATGACTGCAAATCTTGATAGTTTCGTACTTTAATCTTAAACAAGTTCCATTCAAGGGGGCTGTCACTGGATTAAAGAACGGTGGATCGTACGTTTTTGGAGTCTAACGTTCAATTTCGTATTCTAACCGCTACTGTACCGTGCGTATTACGCTGATCGATTAGCAGTTAATTTAACCCTCATCCAGAAATGTTCAAGGAAAACATAACCGTCCCAGACTCTGCTGGTGACGACGAAACTTTGCGTAGGCCACAAGACCATTCTCTGCCAAGAAAGCTAATGTAATGTTTCGGAAAGTCTTCCTCTTGTACGACCTTGCGACTTGTTCCTTTTCTTACTGATGCCAGTCCGAGGTCTCAGTTCTTTCATTCGGTCTTAAAGCAAAAAAATATAATTTAATCGATAATGCGAAAAGCAGCAGTTAGGTCATCTCATCCGTGAGGCCTATCTGAACAGCTTCCGCCAGTGCTGCCTGAAAAACATCTATGTATGATGTTATCATTGAGTAACAAACGAATAGGTGCTGATGACAATTGGTTTGAAGAACTCAATAATCAGCAGCGCTTAGCTTGAATTCGTAGAAGTGCCAAACAATAGAATGAAAACGTTCACAAATCTTCAGCGTCCTGAAAAGCGTTTCTTGACTCCAGACACGTTCGAGGACAATACAAAATCAGGAAATACCTCACCGATGCGGATATGCTGCTGACGAGAAATATATCCGTCGTCGTGGTAGCGAATGTTGCCCAATATGAATCTGAGACACTGTTCCAGTGATCATACTCATAAATCAGGGTTGCTGCGATTTTAATGCTTCCCAACCTTGGCTGATTATAGCTGTGTTTGCAATAACATCATATGCGTATCACGAGTTTATGGTCGTCGTTGCTAAGGGAGTGAAATCTTCTCATCACGCGGATCACGTCATGATGTCAACGAAACTTTTAGATGAGAAGGGTTTCAGGCACAAACTATTACGCCCAATTGTACAATGCTAAACATTCGATCAAAACGCCTTTACTGAGATTGTGTGGTGCCCGCGTTTTGTCATCGTAGCAGTATGATGGTATACGGTAAAAATTCGTTGTTTAGTACAGCTCCTACTGTATCTTGCGGCTAACGGGATCGAATCCTTTATACACGCCATGAAGCAGAGCTGTGATTGGTCCTTGAATTTCTCGTCTTTCTTCATGATCGCTTCTGTTTGTTAGACCCTTGTATTTACTTTCTTTTCGTTAGTGGCCTCGCATTTCCATTATGACGTATCGCCATCGCCGTTTTCGTTGTCATCTATGGTTTAGTGACTTTTTGGCTTACCAACACACCGCATGGATTTACGACTCCTTGTGGTTCTGTAATCGTTTGCCATGGTTTTTTGGCCTTTGTATACCTTAAATGATTCAGAGGCCGGCTTTGCTGTAATCTGACGACAACTTGGTCTCAACTTCATCATTTTAAATTATAAATATCAAGCATATATTTTTGGCATGCCAAGAATCTTAGGTTAGCAAGGCTTGAATGTCAAGGTTTAGCAGATTAGTGATGTCTGGCTTGCTTGAAATGGTGGAGATTACGTGCTTACTGCTAAGTCATTTATCGTCCTCTGATAGACGGGTGACGAGGCTTAAGTACACGAATATTCAATTTAGTTTCAACTTCGAATGACTGGTCACTGTTCACGCCACTCTGCTAGCTCCCTACGAAATGTCGCTTCTTAACACCTATGAGAAGAGCTGAAGGATCCATGATCAATTTTCTTGGCGGCAACCACTGTAGTTGGAGGTCTGTTCATGAGCTCCACCGAAAGATGACTCAGTCGATGCCGGATGCATGAGATAGCCGAAATGAAAAGAAAAAAACATTTCATGCAACCTCAACTGTTCAAACCAGGATGTCCGGCCACAGTGATGTTGCTCCTTATCAATGCGGCATCTTTTCGTTTCTCCGAGAAATGAGTGACATTTATCGTTATTACTTTTTGTTGCTATTGCTAATCGTTCAAAGTGTCAGTGACTAAATTGCTCACTGATATCGCGCCGTATAAACATGGCGTAATCTCTTAAGTAAATGTATGCAACCTTGTATGTGCTTTGTTAAATACAAGTAGCTTAAATGTTTACTTGTTTAAGTAATGAAAGTGCACGGCAGTGCAACAACAATAAGATATGTTATTTTTTGTTAGTGTGGTCGACCACATGAGAATATAACTTTCGCACACGTATTTAGTCTAGATTTGTCGTGTCTTCACCATCAGGGCAGCGCGAAGAACGTTATTTCTTTCATTTCCTCATATTATATTGCTCCCTGAAGAGAGGTCGCGAACGATCAGAAACGTTGGATGATATGCATGCATTAATTTGATTTTCGGTGTGATTATATAAAGGATTTTTCGAATTTTGAACTGCTGCTCATAGGTTCCACTTCTCCTGCGCACGAGTTGCCAGTTTACGTCTAGAAGGTAAATGGCATTATGGAAAGATTTCATCACTCATTTACAGGAGACTCACTTGATCGGTAGATCGAATCGTTCCCTCCAGTTTTGCAAGCATTGTGGCCCCTTCCGTGGGCCGGAATTGTCTGAATTGTATACGGACCTTTGTCAGCCTCGAGTATCATCGCCTCCTTAGCCGATTGTTTCACAGTGCATGGCTGTCGTATAAATGTAAGAGGGTGTGTTTTACCCACTAATGTGCTCCTCCACATTAGCGAGAAATGTAGCTGGGGTCACTAACGTAACCAAATTGCGTTGGGTTACGGAAAACACTCAAACCTATGGAATCCAGAAGAAGCATTCTAAGAACGAGTGCATGCACCACCACCTATTGTACACTCCATGACAGCCCATCGTCATGTCCGGTAGGACACCATATCTGCGCTGATTCAACACGCAAAAGTTATAGTGTTGCCTGATCAGATAACGCTTCAAATAGAGGTTGAGGATTTCAGCGTCTCCTCAACAGCTGTTTTCTGAATTCGTCGCTTTCAACCGTTAAACTTGTGTCACCACTACAGATTTAGTGCAGATCCACCAACAAAATAAGAAATTCAAAAAGTGATGCTACCGCTGAAGGTGAAGATGGCTTACTATGTGGATCAAATCTCCCAGAGTTAACCCAATACAGAGAAATTAGAAGGTAGAAAAGCTTCGTGTTTTCCTACGGAATCAGTCTCCTGCAGAAGTTTCGTGCAGTCGAATAGCGGCCCATTCCTCTTGTGACGTATGCTTCTCGCCAGGTCTTTGCTCTTGGTTATATCTTGTTGTGTATTGAGTTTGTTTAACGCAGGTAACTGCCCCTGAACAGTTCTGTACGGACGCTTGCTAGCTAAGTCGTATTTGCTTGATCAGCCGTGTCAGTGTTTCCTGCCTAACAGTAATAAGAGCGTGTGATCGGGCAAGTGCTTAGAATAACTGTGAACCCTTCAACATTTATGAGGAATTTGAGTTGTGAACAAACAACAGGAAGAACTCAACCGGAAAGCGACCAAATAGAAAAGACCTTACTGAGCGCGTCTGCTGTGTAGTGCCCTGAGACACAGTCATTCCTACAAAGGTCGATGAAGTCGATGATTCGTTTCAGACTCCAGAATGTCCAGCGATATTTCAACAGTGTGAAGTGCAAACGAAGTTAATACTTATATCCGAGGTTGTAGCGTTACTGCGTCAACAGCAAAGTTTTAAAACGGAAAACTGCGCTTCGCATACGGTGAGGCAAAGTTGACAATTTGCTATATCGCCTTACTTATTTGTAACGTTCATTTAAGCAACTGTTTTTAACTGCCGTTCACCATCACTTGTTTTGGCATTTGGCGTCTATTCTGTGACAGAAAGAGAGCCTCATAGCACATATCTGCGTCTGAGGGTGGCCGCTGCCCGTTACTAACCGAATGCAGTAAAATGTAAGGTCCGCATCGTGACTCATCAACGTACTGTTAGGTTGCAAAGCTTTCCGAGCATGCGATCAACTGTCCAAGCGAAGGGCTAGAGGCGACGGCCAGAAATCCCGTTCTTCCTGTTTTCTCGACGACCGGCATATGCTTTTAGCAGCATCCTGTTTACGCCGATGGACTGCTGGTCTGATTGGTAACAAGTGCTG